CAAAAGTCTTGGTGTTTTTACAAAGTTATCAAGTCTTTATTAAATTTGTACCAAAACTCTCATTTTTTACAAAATTGTTTACCAGATTCAAAGAATCGAATTTTATAAAATTAAAGTTATAATACACATCCTTTTCTCGTTAAAGTTGCAGAGTTTGACACAGGAAAAATGATAGAAGTTAAAAAGCTGCAGTTAAGTCAGAATGAAGAGCTTTAAATGGATTAAAGAACATGATGTCATTGAAGACAATGAAATTGGTGATCAATTGTATAAAAAAGATCTGTGGTACTTTTACGGTTATTATTTTGCTTGATCCTATGAACAGGAACAAATAGACGGATCCTCTGAATTTATTCTCTTTGTTGAGCGTAAACGCAAATTTATTAGTGCCGTTTTGTTTCTTCTTTATTAAAGGGTCCGTTTACATATTACATTTTGAAACATTTTGTTACAAGAGGAGGAAGGGAGTTCTAAAAAGTCGTGTTTTCGCGTTACATAATAAGTGAATGGCCCATATCTGAATTGTTTTTTAGCGCATTTTTGAAACTTGTTTCGACTTAACCAGACATGGAAGAGAGCTCGCGTTTGTTTTATTATCTCCGTTACTATCGATTTATCGGCCCATCGAATGCTTAAAAGTCTTGAAACAGTGTATTTATGCTATAATTAATGAATTTTTGTTTTGTTTTCAGTGTAACCTGCCCAAATTTTATTTTAGCTCTATAATTTCAAATTTACACAAAAATGCGCTTAAGTCCCTCGATCAATAACACGAGGACTTCTGTAATTTTTTTTCTGACTTTCGCGATTAAATCTACGAGATACAATGTTCTAAGAACTAGTTGAAAATCAACATTGTTTTATTAATATTTAAAGTGAAAGTGATAAAGTGTTGTGAGTGATCAGAAAAATAAAAACGAAAGATGGCAATCGATGAAATGAATGTAAAATTAGAGAATCCACATTGGTCTATTTTAAAAGTATTTGCGGTTTTGCTAAAGATTCTGAAAGTGTAGAAAACAAATGTATGGAATAGCTCTCAAAATTACACTCTTTGGAAAGTCTCAAATTTGGAAGAACAAACGCAAATGGAATCAAACTTCTGAAAAATAACAAGAATTAAAGTTTTTTAAACTCTGGATCACAGCGATCTTAATATGAATATCGATTGATTGAACCAAGTACTGAAGGGTTACAATATGGATTGTGGATTTCAAGATAAAAACGAGTTGAAATATTAAAAGGAAGATATTAAGGACACAGAGATAAGAATTATTTAAATTTCAAACCATCCTTTGCACAAGACGACAAAAATTATTAATCTTCAAATTCTCTTCAGCAGTAGTTTTCTTCTTTGATCGTCTTAAATTATGTTTAAAGTGGTCTTTAAGTTTTTAATTCAATTTGCCTATTTTCTTTTAGGTTTTATTTCATTTTAAAATTTTTTTTTTTTTTTTTTTTTTTTTTTTTTTTTTTTTAGCGAGAAATGCCAAACTAGTGATGTACAAGACACTAATACGCCCAGTAGTGTTGTACGGTTCTGAGTCATGGAATATGACTATCGCAGATGAGAACGCAATTGGTGTATTTGAGCGTAGGGTCTTGCGAATTATATTTGGACCGAAGAGAGAAGGTGACTTTTACAAAAGCAGGAGTAACGCAGAATTATATCAGCTTTTCAATGAAGCTGATATCGTACGACGAATCAAAGTCAACAGACTCCGTTGGGCTGGACATGTCGTTAGGAGACCTGTTGAAGCTCCCATTAATAAAGTCTTTAAGAATGTTTTTGTAGATGGCAAAAGAACACGCGGGCGACCCAAGAACTCTTGGAAAGAAGCTGTTGACAGAGACAGTATTGCATTTGGTATGGTTAATTGGCAAACGGAAGCCAGCGACAGAGTCAGCTTCAGGCGCCATCTAAGGGAGGCCATGGATCACAATTGATCTGTACGGCCAGCGAAGTAAGTAAGTTAAAATTTTTTTGCTTTATTTTGTGTTCGGAATAATTTATTCTGTGTTTCGCGATGCAAGATGACTGTTGAGGGTCACTCGCAATTTTCCAACGTAGTCCTCAATGGACGGTATTTTATCTTTCGTATGAAGATCGATGATTCTTCATATCTTGTTTGGTTGAGTCTTGTTTAAGCCAGAAATAATTAATTTTAACTTTTTTGACTCGGATATTTTGGATATTTCCGTGAACGGATTTTCTGGAGATGTTCTGATGCAAATTTACATATGTAAAACGGTAAGAACTTGCGCTTGTATTTCTTTTTACATACTTTACATTAATCAGTTCTGCACTCTTGATAACGCATTTGTGTACATTGTTTCTTGTTTAATGATACTGCTTCTTTATCACTCTAAGAAAAAGAATATTCGTATTATGTGTCTTTATTAAGTAATATTTAACGTTAGATAATTGTCACGTGTGAAGTGTTCTGTTGAATTTAAATCATTGACGAACACTAGTCTAACCCAGTCTAACCTTTTAATTCTTGAAAAACTAAATGATTTATTTACAAACTTCGATCCTATTTCTCTTTAAACATTAGATAACATTCATACGTTTCTGTATATTCGCATTCAGTTTTGTGTGCCTTTATTCTAAGCTTCTTAATACTCAAAATAATATTCACAGAATATTTTATTTTATTTCAGTGTTGCATTCTGGCCATTTTTCTGGATCAGATAAATTCTGAGACAGAAATTTCTTCATAAAGATCGATTCTACATGAAGATAGAAAATCTAATCTACACAAAGATTATTTCTATCTAAAGAATCTGTCTACATAAAGATTCGATGTAGATGTCTACAATTCTACATTCTTCTCTGATGTAGACCTGGAAAAAATGTAGAATTGTAGACATCTACATCGAATCTTTATGTAGACAGAATCAGAGGGCGAAGTCGACTCGGATTTTGTATGGAAAAGTCGACTTGAGTTCACTCGACTTCATACAAATTTCGAGTCGACTTCGCCCTCTGGACAGAATCTTTATGTAGAAATAATCTTTGTGTAGGAAAGATTTTCTATCTTCATATAGAATCGATCTTTATGAAGAAAGTTTCTTAGATAGACAAAAACTATTGAAGAATCTACATTCTTCATCTAGTGTAGACATCTACATTTGCAACACTGTTTTATTTTTCTAAAATTTCAATTAAAAAAATAACAAAAAAATGCGTGAGCTCGCTTTTGTTCAAAAATAATATAACTGAGAGAAAAACTGCATGAAATTTTCATGACCCCGGAAAATATGACAGAAAGTACTTTATTTTAGCGTTCATATGGGACTTGTAGACTTTAACATAAAACATATAAATGTGAATAATTCTCTTAAAGTATTAAATAAATACTTTATAAAAAAAACTTTTTAAAAAACCACGTTTTTACCCGTGGACTAAAAAGTAGAAAATAACTTTTTTATTGGGTTCAAAGGATATTGGTTTGAATATTTGAGATTGATTTGAAAGTTTCATACTAAAGTCATGACCATACATGAATTGCAAATTTGTTCACTTCGACCATATCGTATAGTTCTATATCTTAAAACGTGGGCACATTCATTAATATTGTATATTTGGAAAGCTTAAATTTCATATAAATGCGCCCAAGTAGAAGTGGTCGAAAAATCGATCGCAAGGTTTGACCAAGACAGATAAGAAAGCAAGTTAAGAAAAACGTGGTAATAATAAAGAAGAAACTCATTGAAAAAAATTACACGTTGCGTTGTGCAAAATTCTTTCACATCTTTCATTCTCATAATGTAGTATTCTCGTGTAACTCACCTAATTCCGTTAAATGTGAGTTGCCTACTTATTCAAACAGAACATAATGTGTTAACAATTTGTTAATGCCAAAATTTTAAGTTACACTATTACTTAAAATCCTTAAATTCAACATTTTGAAAAAGAATAACTTTTTAAACAATATCTATTAAAACTTAAAAATATGTTTCTTTGCAATTAATTATGTTTCAAAGCTAGTGTGATAAATTATCAAGATAATATATGTGTTAACATTACAGAATCTTCTACTGAAATCTAACAAAGGCGATCAACTAGTGCATAAAGCTCTGCTTAGAGAAATTTAAAGAATTTTACAGTAACATGATTTAAGTGAACACAGTTTTTTTCTCCTCTATAATTAGAATTGAAAAGCTAAAGTAATGTAATCAACATCTTGTTTGCTTCTTCCTAAGTTGTCGTTATGTGATTTGTTCCAATTTACTTTTATTGCATATGAGTAAAGTTTGCAACAAAAAATAAAAGTTAAACAAGTTTTAAATGTGTTCTAAATGCTAGTCAACATTTTAATTTCAATACTATTGATCATTTTCACTTGAAAGACTACTTTAAATAAAATATAGAACGAATAAAATTTGATAAGGAAGACTAGTATTTTGTTCTAGTATTTCTAATGTTTTAAAGAGCTAGCCAAAAGTATACATGTGAAGATTTACCACCAATAAACAAAACAACAGCAATAATATTGAAAACTTCAACACAGACGATCTAAAATGAAGAGAAATTTTTAAAAAGAATAAGCAAAAGAAGAAATGGAAGAAGTAAATAAGTTGGCAGTGTTGCATTATGAGTAAAATACAATCAGTTGTCTCTCGTTCATTGCTGCATTAAGTTCGACATTTTTGTGTTCTGTTTTAAGATTTCGATGACTAATTTTTATATAAAAAAATATGTAAATTAAAAAGACAAATATTTAAGAAAGAAAGAAGAAATTTTAAGTCATCTGAATATTGACCGAAAAGGAGATCTTTATTTAAAAGTTTTGCACACAAAAAAGAATTTGAATCAAAAGTTTATTTGATTCTTTGAATTTGTTTAAGAAATTGTGATTTATGCATAAAGTGTTGTGAATAAAATGTCTAGTTAATAATTTCTAAAGTGAAGAAAAATATATAAAAGCTTTAATAAAGTTAAATAAAAAGTGCAGTGAAATTTCAAAATAAAAGTGATAAAAAAATAAATAATTATGTATTCACGACGTACAATGCTGCTCTCATATTTTCTAATATGTTTGATATCGGCTTCAACTGCTTCTTACCAGACTGGTAAAGGTAGATTTGAAAGCATCAATGGAAATCGATACACAGATGCCAAATCAATGGATGAAAATGACACAAAATTCTTTTTAAACCGAAATCGTGAGCGAATGCCACCTTCTCATGATACTGTATGTTTACAGATTTATTTAGCATATCACTTCAATCATTAAACAATAATTCACTTAATTTCAGCCAGCATCGTCATGTAGCTGCAGTAAGTTTTAATTCATTAAAATCGCATTACTTGCTGTTTAAAGTTTAATGCTTGATTAGATTTAATAAAAGTTTGTCCAAAATATTTCGATTTATGGATCATTTAGTGAGATTTGAATAGATTTTTTGAGGTCATGAACCTTATTAATCTACCTAAGTTAGATTTTAAAAAATGAAAAAAATTGTTTTGAATAATTATAAGCTTAAATATTGGCAAGACAATCTAATTTCTTTCAAAATTATTGGTACAAGAATGATAAAACAGAAAAGAAGATGTCATTAATAAGACGCGTCATTAGCCTCATGAGAGCACAAGAATAAGCAATAAAATAATAATACAAACCTGTTCGAAGCTTTAAGTTTTGTGAGTAAATACGAATTATAAAGAATTCAGATACTGTATTAAGAGAACGAAAGAAAAGTTGTAACACTTTCATTAATATAGACTCATAAGACAAAATTTTGAGCAATCTTATATGAATATTATCAAATCTAACTCGAAACAGCCGTTTTGAACATTCAGAAGATTTTATATAAAATTAAATCACAATTATTTCCATTAAAATTAAACAAACAGAGTGTGGCGAACGAAATGATGAATCAAGAATTGTTGGAGGCAATACTGCTATTGTTAATGCATATCCATGGATGGCTAGATTATCATACTTTAACAGGTGATTTTGATTTCATTTACTTTTACTATTTTCTACTAATAATGTTATTATTTTTAATTCTCTTTTGAAAGTAAAGATTTTACTGCGGTAAGTTTCAAACTATTAATATTAAACCAATTTAGACGAAAATGAGAGGTCTACGGGTCCGTTTACTTATGACGTCCAGGGGGGGGGGGGGGGGGGGTGGGGGGTCAGACAGAAAAGAACAATAGAAATTCCTGGAAATCCATTGTTTGTTTTTGAAAAATGACCGTTAATTTCGGACGTCATAATTGAACAAGCCCCTCCAATGTTTTAATCAAATTTTAAGTGTTTGGTTTCTTGGGCAACTTGGGATATCAAACTTAACTTTGTTGATCATATTTTTGGTCACTTACAATTCAAAATTTATAATCATACTTGTCATCTATTCGAGTTTTGATGTTTTTCAGGTGGGATGTTGATTAATGATCGTTACGTCCTTACTGCAGGTATAATCATATAGAATATTCAAAATTTGAATTAGCAAGTAATAATTCTTATTTACACTTTCAGCTCATTGTGTAAAGGTACGGTAATTAAATTAAAATCATTATAAATCAATTGAAAAGTTCTTCTTAAGGGTTTTATGTGGTTTATGATAAAAGTCACATTTGGTGAACATGATCGCTGTGATGACAGCATGCGCCCTGAGACAAGATTTGTGCTAAGAGCAATTTCGCAAAAATTCAGCTACAGTAATTTTGATAATGATATGGCATTATTAAGGCTGAATGATCGCGTGCCTATTACAGATCATATTCGACCTATATGTTTACCAACAAATAAAGGTAAATAGATTTGCAACTTCCTCTTTTATTATTAAACTGACATTTAAATTAATTGAGTATTTTTATGATTTGATAGCTGAATTATACACCGGAAAAACAGGAATTGGTAAGAATTAAGCAATTTTATTAAATTTATATTATTTTAAAATATTTATTACATTACAATAGTAACTGGATGGGGAACAATTAAAGAAGATGGAAAACCATCTTGTGTACTTAGAGAAGTAGAAGTGCCAATTATGTCAAATCAGAATTGTATTGAAAGAACAAACTACACACAAAAAATGATAACAGATAATATGGTATGAATATAGATTCCAATCATAATTGTTTACAAGATGTTTATGAATTTTACAGCTTTGTGCTGGATTTCCCGGAGTTGGTCAAAAAGATAGTTGTCAAGGTGATTCAGGTTAGTGCAAAATCATCAATATAAGTTAATCTGAATGGAAATAAACATTTTAAAATATAAAGGTGGTCCACTAATTGTTGAAAGAACTGATAAACGATACGAACTTGCTGGAATTGTGTCATGGGGAAATGGATGTGCTCGACGAGACTATCCAGGGGTAAAATTTTGATGACTTTATTTTCACAAATTATTTATTCATTCAAAATTATGATTTTTAACAGGTTTATACGAGAGTTACGAGATATTTAGGTAGATTTTGATTCATTACCGAAGCAATAAAGAAGAAAAAGCTTTAACCTATATAATTGAGTTATTAAATACTCATTTTGGAGTAGAAAGCTTCTTTATTGCTTAAATCACTTATGAATTTGCACAAAATGATTTTTTTTTCTTTTAAAAACAATTACAATTCTATTTCTATAGATTGGATCCATGAGAATTCAAAAGACGGTTGCGTTTGTACACAGTAAGGTAAAAAGAAAATAAGCAGTGATTATTCAACTAGTAAAACAATAACTATGATTGCATTTAAAGTGAAAAAAATTATTATTATTCACTTATTGATATTTTTTATAAAATACAAAGAAGATTAAACAATTCAGGAATATGTGAATGGTTCTAGAAGAATGGAAAAATTAAAATTTAAAATAAGAGTGATTTAAAAAAGATTTTGAAAAATTCCTTCAATAAAAAGATTTTATAGGTTCTTTTTAATCAAACATAATTAATCTCTGTAATACCTAATCACATATCAAGTAAATGTTATAAAACTGAATGACAAATAAATTAGACATGATAAAATATTTTATTAAAACACATTTAATCTGTTTTCTTATTATAAAAAGGTTATTAACCGTTATTACGCACATGATGTTAATTCTTGAAGCATTTATTTGAATTACAGCTAAATGAATCGTTTTGATATTGACAACAGATCAATAAGGTAGGAATACCAGGCACTGGTCTTTAAATCTCCAACATCCAAAATCGATCAACTTCATTTTAGGAAAAAAAATCTAATTTCAAGTTTTGCTAAGTGTTTTTACTATAACTTGTAGGTCTAAACGGTGTGATACAATAGATTCTGTTCTATTTTGAATCGGAGTGCTTCCAGCTCAAAAGGCTGGGGTCTTCTTATGATTTTTTGATTAGATGTCTAATATGTTTTAAGAACCAGGGAAGATTTAACGTTTGTTCAGACCAAACTCTGGTAAAGAGGATGCATTTTGATTTCACACCATCTACTTCGCTACGGCACTAGACTAAGATAATGATATTAATGCATTTCGATCTTTTATTACCACAAACGTAACAGCTGACTTTTAGGTAAGTTGTGTTCAAATTAAACTGTATATGTCATGTCACTCATAAAAATACTTTACTCACATGTGAAAGTGTTATGATAAGATAAATGATTATTTGCTAGGGAACGTTCTTGCTTCAGTTTGATTTCTGATATCAGTCCGATAAACAAGGTTTTGGTGTAGTTTAATATGTTTGAGTAGTAAACAATAATTTATCGATTTTAAATATGAATATGATCATTTTTAAGCGTATTTTTATATTTTTGTTCTTAATATTTGCATTTTCTCTCGTGGTGCTTTATTATAATGAGACAAAAGATTTAATTAAATCACCGTATCTAGCAAAATTTAAAAATATTATGCGTAATAGTGAAAATGACTTTTCTGAGCCATCTATAGAACTCTCTGAGCCGTTGACAGAATTTTCTGATCAATCAACTACATTTCCTGATCCATCAACTACATTTAAACCACCAATTACATCTTACAAATCATCAAGACTAAGATCAATCGAAGAAAGTTGGACTTATGAGTGCAATAAAAATCGTTGTACTCGAAAGTTTTACAATAATAATAATAATAATGAGGAGAAAATTACACTGACATCTTGTTCATTAACTTGTGGCAGTACAAAATTATGGCCAAAACCAACTAAGACTGACGTCAAAACATCCTTTAAACAATTTAAACTATCAGATATTCAACATAAAATAGTTACAAACTTTAGCAGTGTTGCAGAGCTAATGGACAAAAGTATTAAAGCATTTTTAAATGACTTAAAACAAATAATTTCTTCGTCTGACGGAAATGTCGATAACAACTCAATAGATAATACAAATGCGGTTATAATTAGTATTCATGTCACAGAATCCGATGCAACATTATTGTCAATGAATACAGATGAATGCTACAATTTATCAATAGCATGTAAGCTACAAAACAGTGCTCGAAGTCGATCTCGCTGATTACGACTTTAGAATCTAACATTTTGAGATATTTCTAAACATTACTTAATCCATTTTCAGACACTGAAAAATCGATTAATGTTAAAATTACTGCGAAATCATTTTTCGGAGCTAGACATGGTCTTGAAACCCTTCAACAATTAATTTGGTATGATGACTATAGTGAATCACTTAAAATATTGACTACAGTAGCGATAGAAGACTGTCCAAGTTTCAAGTAATTTTAATTGAAATTTCATAACAACAAATATTAAAAAACTTAATTTGTAGCTATCGTGGACTCATGCTAGACACCTCAAGACATTATTTTTCAACTGACACAATAAAAAGAATAATAGCCGGCATGTCACATGTGAAGCTTAATCGTTTTCATTGGCATCTAACAGATTCACAAAGCTTTCCATTCGTATCGAAAAAATATCCAGAACTTGCAATTTATGGCGCATATTCATCAAAAGAAGTTTATACTCATGATGACATTTTAAATGTTGTTGAATTTGCTAAAATTCGTGGAATACAAATTATACCAGAAATAGATGCACCGGCACATAGTGGAAATGGATGGCAATGGGGGAAAGAGAAAGGTTTAGGAGATTTAAGTTTATGTATAAACCAGCAACCTTGGAAAGCTTATTGCGGCGAACCATCATGTGGACAGATGAATCCAAAAAATAAAAATTCTTTCATGATATTGGAATCTCTTTATGAAGAACTTTTACAACTCACAAATGCTACAGACTTCTTTCACATGGGTGGTGACGAGGTCAACTTTGATTGTTGGAAACAACATTTTAAGAATGAAGATCTCAATTCTCTTTGGTGTGATTTCATGTAAGTTGAAATTTAAATTCATATTTTCTTGTGTTCAACTAAATGATATAATCCGAAATATAGGACTGAGGCTCATAGGCGAATGACTAAAGCCAACAACGATAATCCAATTAAATATGCCACAATTTGGAATAGTGACTGGTTAAAAATAAAATGTCTTCCAGCTCAAAACTTCACTCTTCAAGGTATTGTCAGATTTACATTTGTTTTGACCATCGACTTCTGCAGTTTATAGGGCTCGATTAAAACTCGATCTAATTCTCTTTCAGTTTGGCTAGCACAGCCATCACAAATTCAGCAATTCATCAAAGCAAATTACAATTTAATTCTGTCTCACGTTGATGCATGGTACTTGGATTGTGGCTTTGGAAGCTGGAGAGATACATTTGGGCAAGGATCATGTCCACCATTTAAAGCTTGGTATACAGTGTATAATTATCGACCGTGGGGTGCTTTAAGATTGACTGATGATCAGAGAAAACAGATTTTAGGAGGCGAAGCTTGTATGTGGACTGAACAAGTTAATGAAGATTCTATTGATGTAAGAATATGGCCACGAGCAGCAGCTTTTGCTGAACGACTTTGGAGTGATCCACAATCGTCTGTGATACCAAAAGAGACTGTAAATAGATTCTCGATTTTTCACAAACGGTTTCAATCGTTGGGATTAAAATCAGACGCACTTTTTCCAAAATATTGTGAACAAAATGAAGAAGAATGTATTTAATTAAAATTTATAATTTGACAAAATAGCATTTAAAGTTATTCATTTAATGAAAATGTGCTGCGAACTTCTTCCAAATGCTTAATTTGAGCTTTTGCAACATTGAGATACTGATTATAATTCCAGGAATTTGGTTGTGGATTTACATTAACAGGAAGTGGTAAATATTTCCGGCTATTATCAGCTTGTTGGATGCATTTTAATGCTGTAATTAAGTTCAGTTCTATTTGATCGATGATCGAACAAAATTCCTCGAAATATTTCTCAAAATAAGACTTTTGATCAGGATTTCTTTCCTCATTATTAATTTCGCTACGTGCAGCCTCAAATAGGTTCTGCAAACAATTCATGTGTATCGCAAAAAGTCAATGATTCATAAAAATAAAGTAGAACTTACAGATAAAGAAAGATTCAATGAAATCATCAGATGTTTAGCCTTCGTTATGTTATCTTGAATAATTTGAGATGTATTTGCTACCGAACTTTGTTGTAAGCGCACTGGTTGATTCATTTTACTTCTAGTTTAATTAAATTTGGCGTTTTTTCTATTAATCACAGTTTTTGCGTGTAAGTCAATTTAGCGGTTTATTTACTTTTGAATTTATTTCATAGTTTCGTGCCCCTCAAATAAATTATTCAGGGTAAGAAGCTACAATTTTGTTTACAAAACACATTTTTTCGGCGATCCTCGATAATTTAATTAAAAATGGTGCGTACACTAAAGAATCGACGAACCAACAGATATCAATATGATAAGAACAGAAAGAACCTCAAGAAGAAGCTCAACAGCACAGGAAAAATCAAATGGTAAGCTTTATTTGATTAATTTTGTAAAAATACATTTTTAATGCTGTTTTTTCATTATAGTGCTGAGATTAAGCGAGATATCGACAATCGGAAGTCTGTGACTAAGAATATTAATGAAATGGGACTGGTCTTCAACGTTAATAAGTCATTTGCAACACCAAACTACAAAAAGAATAAAACAGCAATTAATAAATTAGTAAATGGATTTGTTGAAGAAGATAATCAAGAGGAAGAAATTGAACGTCCAAAAAAGCATGTAGTAAAGAAACTAGAGACAAGTGCAAAAGAACTAAGAGAGAGCAAGTTCCAAATATCAAAGAATCAAGTAAGAATTCTCAGTTATTACATCGATAAGTATGGATTGAACTACAAATTAATGGTAAAAGATCATAAGAACTACGATCAGCATACATGGAGACAGTTTAGACAGAAGATTCGTAAATTCATGTCTATTCCTGAACAATTTGCCAAATTTTTGAATGAAAGGAACTTATTGGACACAGATATAACTGAAGATGATCCGAAATGGCAAGAATCAAACACGGATCTTGATGATGATTAAATGAAATAAAAATAACGTATTTTTGAATTTTAAATTTTGTTCATTATTTTTTCCAAGGGTTGATTCCTTCCAGCAAAACAGCAGAAAAAGTAATTTTTGAAAATTCTATTTTTAATACCTTTAAGCACTTAATTTAACTTAATAAACCTAGTAATCATAACAACTAGCAACTAGAATATATGTAAAAGTGAAGTGATCAATCTGATAAGTTGAATTAACATAAAATTTCAATTGTTTTCATTTTCTAATCGCAAATTTTAGAAATGGCAACATTCGATCATGTTTTACCGGCAGAAGAGGAACTTACAGTTCCAGAAGTGAATCTGTCTAGTGCTTCATTACGTGCTGGAGCTTTTCATTTGGGAAAATACTGTGAAAATCAGAATAATGTGAGGAAATTTCTCATGATTTTATTTGTTGTTTATTATTACGCAATTTTATATGATTTATTTTTTAGGAATTCATGCTATGTCGTCAGGAACTCAATGATCCACGAAAGTGCTTAGCAGAAGGACGTGCTGTAACGTCATGTGCTCTTGAGTTTTTCCGTAAAGTTAAAAAAACTTGTTATGCTGAATTCACGCAATATGCCAATTGTTTAGACAAAAGCAGTGGCGATTTACATTTTAAACAGTACGGCATTTATACCTGAATAATAACTGGATGTTCATTAATATGTAATTTCATTTCAGTTGCCGTAATACACAAGGTGTTCTTGACAAATGTATGCTTGACAACTTGGACATTGAACGACCTGAATATGGATACTTTTCACGTGCTAAAATCCATCATACTGATCGACCAGCACCAGCTAAAAGAGAAAAGAAAGTGTACGAAGATGCAACTCCCGGTTTACCAGATGATTATCCACGCCCACCAGCTAAATTTGGAAGTCGTCTTCATTATATGATGTAAATTCAATACATCAAGCTTATATTAAAAATCTGGATGAAGCTATTAGTCTTGGAAACATTAAATTCATAATAAATAAATATAAAATCAAGCTAGGCAAGCTTTTATGTGAAGGATTTCAGGCTGTAGATTAATTGGAGTCTATCTTTCTAAATCTTTTGGATGAAGTTCAAAGGTGAAGTCATGACAAGGATATCAAAGATGCTGGTCAGAAAAAGAATTTGCCATTCTTAGCACCACTTGATAGTGCAGTGGTTAACATTAGGGTACGGGAATCGTAAGAACTTGCTCTGGACAACACAGTTGACTCTTTTCTACTAAATGTTCAATTTAAAGTTCAACGAGGATTAAAATCAAGTTTTAACATCTGCTGAGCAAGCCTATCTAGTTCCTGATATTGAATTGATTATTCGCGGAAATCAAATAGCTTAATAGTTCTTCAAAGTCCAAAACCGCTGGATTGTCAAAAATTTTACTATATTTTTAACGGATTTCACATTTTTGAAATAATTTCCTACTCCTTGTTAGCTGCATTCAAAGATTATTGTTTCAAAAGTGCTCTTTTGTCTGCCAACCAATCAATTTGGTTATAATAACAACTGCGCTTAAACACTTTCAATTACAAATATCGTTTTCTTTTTACTTGACCTAAGTTTTGAAAAAGTTTCTAAACTTATCGTAAAAAAAAGTTTAATTATATCAGGTTAATTGATAATATTAAGGGATTAAAATTATATAACAGTGTAAATTAACAATTCAATTGAGAAACAAGCATAAAGTATACTAGAAATACTTTGAAGATTAAGTAAAAATTCAATTTTAAAAAGATGAGAAATTTCGATCGAAATACGGGCTATAAAAATAGTGGCTCATCAAGCTACTCAAGGAATGATAGAAGAGAAGACAGAGGTGATCGGTATTATTCTGATGATAGGAACAGAAATATGCCAAATAAAGTAAGTAAATAGTGATTTTTTGCAATAATTAACAACTAACCTCAAAACTATTTTTGCACATCCTTTTTTAAAGGCATTCGGAAACCGAAATGATTACAATAAGAAGCCAAGACGCGATTATGAAGAACCACGTCATTCCTATCAGGTAATATACAATCCAATACAGAAAATGATGGTGCATTAAAATTACACCATAAATATGCGTGTATATAATTTAAATCGTATTAAAGACCGACTTAATACTTTTATCATTATCAATAACAATTTTTTTCTTAAATTCTCCCTCATTTAAAAATACTTGGAATCCTGAATATATATAAAAAAAGATTTTTGAAGCCAACTTCAATGACATGAACTTATTAAGCATGCATAGTCATTGTTTTTGTGATGATAAATTATTCAAAAATAATTCCGAATGAGAAAGAGATAATTAGATACATGAAAAAGAAATGTCGAATAGAATGAGAACATTTTTTTAATAGAAAAAAAAAGAAATGACCAAGAATGAATATGAATGTATTTCTGATAAGAAAAAAAAAATGTTCAGTATGGGATATTAAAAAAAAGCGATAGAAGATATGACTGATTCAATGATATTTTATTGATGAGACACAAGCGATTCTGAATTGCTGATGATTGATATTTGTTTCACACAAATTTGATATTTATTTTTTATATGTATATAAAAACCAATGAAAAATCAATCTTGACAAATAGGACCGAACAGGTGATCGTGGAAATCGATCTTATAATGGAGGTGACAGAGGATTCCATGATAGATCGTATCGAAGCAATGATTATTCAAAGAATGAGAGAACTTTCCGAAATCGTTCGCCTGCAACAAGATCAACTAGAGAACGAGATGGACATTCAGATACAAGGCACACGGGAGGATATCGTAATAATGAAGGGAGACAACGTAACATGAGTCCACAAATTCGTCAACGCAATGATTATAAGCCAGCGTCTACAAATATTAAAAGTCGTTTAGCACTGAGATCAAGAATTGCAAGTTCCAACAATTCACGCATCATTCGTACCGGCGTTAATAAAATAATGCGAAGAACTGATTTGCGTGGTGGATTGGTTTCAAAACGATCGACAAATATCAATCGTGCAAAGGATTATGCTCGCAAAATACGTCAAGCTCGCATGAAGCTTAATGAAGGTGGAAGCACCTCATCTACAAGACTCAAGTCGTCTATCGAAGTTAAATCACCGAAAAAGGATTCAGATGAAACTCCACGCAAAACTGAAGAAAATGAAGATGATTATTTAGCTATTGCAAACGATGTAGATTTCGATGAAGGCGATGTAAACGATGAATCCGAGACAGTAGATCCAGAAAAAAAGCTTTCGAAAGAACCGGCAAAGGATGAAGGTGATGAGAAGAAATCTTCTTGTGCAAAACCATCAACTTCACGCAGTCGTACTCGTACGCAATCAAAAGAGAGAGTTCGTAAATTTGAAAGAATTGAATACTCTTGCATTCACTGTGGCAAATGTAGCACTTCTGCTCAAGTAAGTTAATAATATCTAAAAAACTTGAATTCAAACTATTTTAAAATTTTTATTTAAACTTTTCAAGGAGTATCGTTCTCATTTGAGTGGACGTAGACATTTATTGGCGATGCGAGAAGTAAGTCTTAGAGTTCGTGCAACATTAAATCGTTTGCGAAAGGTTCAACGCGACAGACAATTAGAAATTGAGGCAAGAATTAAAGATGTTGAAGATATTCAAAGTAAATATTGTCAAGTTTGCAAATTGAATTTCCGTCAATCAAAGGAAGATCATCGTGAATCTGAAGATCACAAGAAAATTAGTAGCTTCTTAAAGCCATACTGCAAAGTAAGCAAAAAACGAGATTACAAGATACAGAAAAGAAAATCTAATTTATTTTGCTTTAGATTTGCCGCATGAAATTGATTTCACCAATGAAATATGAAATACATCGTTGTCATACTGATCATATTCGCAGAAAGTTAAAAGCTCAAGAAGGCTCTGATGATGAATTCGATATGCAAGAAATGGACATTGGGGATTTTAAGACTGTAGATTCTATTGGAAATGTTGATGATGGTGAGACTAATGAAGACGGTAGGAATAGCAAAGATCTTTATAATAAAATTACATTTAATAATTTTTCACAATTAAAGAAACGGAAAATTTGAATACTTCGGATACTCTTGTTGGAAACGAGTTTGTTGAAAAGATTGAAGCTTATTATTGTTCCTTATGTCACGACTTTGCACATGATCATCGTGGCAATGACGCTGATGAAAAATTAATTAAGGATCATTGTAAGACAAGACGTCACATCAATCGTTATCAGGATCACAAGAAAAATGAAGAAAGAAAAGCAAAAGCTAAAGTGTCGATTGACGCACAAAAAAGCCCTGAAAAATCAGTCAAACAAAACGGAAGCGATGACGTAAAAAATGACAATGAAGTCGATAGAAATGCAGATGTTAATATTGATGAAAATACTAATGAAGAAAGCAAACATTCTGAAGACTCAAAATTCAACAGGTAAATTTACTTTAATTAATTTTATTTTTGTTCCTTGTTTCATTTCCTATTTTATTTATTCGTCTCTTAGATATTCAGAATCAAATGATTAAATATCAACAAGTATTTTCATTGCATCTTAATTATATTTGACTTTTAACATACATTTTAATCTTAATTGTAATAATTTACGAAGTATGGAAAATAAAGATTTCAATAAAGTAAAGTCTAGTGTTTCATTCATTATCTAGCACAGAACAATAGCTATTATTCTCAAATTTTTTACATATGTTTTTTTAGTGTTGATAACTAGAAAATGAGCTATCTGATTACATTGTGGATCTATGGCTTGTTTATTTAAATTTAGAAGAGTAGATACTTAAAGTCAAATCTTAGAATTCTAGCTGCTGATACATTACGATGAGTTGTCTGATATTGAGAAGGAATATGGACAGATTGAAAAAGAATTTTTGGGTGCAAAAAGTTTCATGATTATGTGTATGGTCGTCAGGTGATTATGAAATTGAATCATAAGCAACTTGAGATTATCAAGCTTAAAGATTTGTCAATAAATGATTCTTTAAAAGAATTCTTTAAAATTCTGTGCATAAAAGAGTCGCCATATTGAAAGTACTAATTGATGTTTTTCATAGGGGTCGTTCACTTATGACGTCCATCAAAAAACCTGATGTTTAGACCCCCCCCCCCCCCTCTGTCACAAAAATTCTATAGAAAAAAATTTCCATTGTTTGAACTGTCACAAAATCCTAGACCCCCTCCCCCCATAAATGTCGGACGTCATAAGTGAATTTCGCCCCATAGCAAATTTCGATATTGTTTAATTCATTAAATAATCTATTGACATTGTGATTGTCTTGTTTATTTCGATAATATTGTTTATAAATTATGCAACAATGTTTTAAATAACTTTTATCATTGAATGGAAGCATAGATTGAATGAATATAAATTCAATATTTCTATCAACATCCATGGTCCACATAAAGCTACAAAAAACAACCACCAACTTTAATTATTTACTGTTTGTTCGTCAATTAATAATTCAGAAATATTGTTTGGGGGCCTTAAAAGGATGAAGAGTAAAAAATATTATTTTTCCATGCTGCTTGCTTGCTGCTTCATGTAAGTGTAACAACTAAGAGCAACAGCATTGAAGTTATATGTATAGAAAATATATGAATAAAGGATAGCACAAAAAATCTACTCATGCATTTCCTTTCAATAAACATTTTCACACTCTTTCTTTTCAGTTCCGCACATAAAACAACAAAAAATAAATTTTACAGCATCAGCATAAAGTTGGAATGGAGAAAAAAATTCAATATGGAATGGAAAAAAATTGCCGATAACAATAGATGCAGTAAGAGAAAGGATTTTCAGATAAGCTTTCACACATTTACCACTTTAAAATTTCCATAAAAATGCCAAACATATTTGCTATGAAATTTGATACAATTTGCATACTTAACACATCATTAAAACATTCCATGCTCTTCATTTGCACAAAAAATGAAAGTGCTAATATTCATAATAATGTGTTAAATTCACAGCTTTTGTCGAACTGGAGGCAATGAGATTTAATCAGTATAGAATGTATTGCATCATTTATAAACTCTACCTATTTTCAAGAGTGCGGAACTGATGAAATGATCAAAAATTATCAAAATGTAATTTATCTTTTACGCATTCTTGCCTTTTTTAAAGTAAGTTATTCAGATATTGATCAAATGAGCTGAACCGGCTCGGTGTCAGAATGGTTTAGTACTTCGGTACTTAATTATCGCAATACTGACATAGCGATCATGGGTTCAAGACTGGGTATGGGAAATTTTTTACTTGTCCTTTTTCGAATCATTTGCACTAGAAATGAGCCTCACAGCCTTCCTTTGTAGGCTACAGGCAGAAATGTCATCAAAGGAGTGGTTCGGATCCCACTTTAAATTGTAGGTCTAGGTTTGAGCGCAGTGGTAAGACGTATCCTCACTCGTCAGGGGCGTAGCCAGGAATTTGTAGAGGGGGACAAATTTTTTTTTGTATGGAAAACTTTTAGGGGGGGGGGGGGGGTGTATTTTTTCGAGTTTTATATGAAAACTCTTGCAAAATGAAGAAATTTCTTAAGACGAAGGGGGATTTGTCCCCCAAATCCCCCCCTCCCTTCCTGGCTACGCACCTGTCACTCGTTAAAGACACTCGAAACCCCCAAGCGAACCTCTGGATCCAGATTCAGATTGATATTCAGATGTAAGTATATGAGACTCATACTTTGTCAAAGACTTCAAATCCAACACAAGAACCTACCTTCCAACTAGACATTACCTGAGATTAAACTCAAAACCAAGAATATTTTTTAACAGAGTCGAGTCAACAAATCTATACACAATCAAACTCTTATTTTGCTTACTGCACGGAACTTTTGGCATTTAACCCGTTAATTACGGAATTTTTTTGGGACATTAGAGTGCATTTATTTGATGAATTGCAGTATAAAAATAAGTTTGACGAAGAGTTTGGCTCAAATTAATGCACAGATTTAATAGAATTAACAAATTTTGTCCGTAACATATATGTTACGCTAGGATTTTGCAAGCAAAAATTTTATCCTTCCAAAAATTTTAATTCTTTTATTTTACCTCTTTTCTTATCTTTTGTCAGTAATGCAATATTTTATTATTAATTATATATTATTTAACATAATAAGAGTCCAATTTAAATGCTCTAATGCATATAAAAACGAAAAAAACTCAAATTTATTTACACTTTTATTTTATGTCATATCTTTAAAATGAGACATTTTTCAGCGTTCGGACCTCACCAACTCGTTATTTTCATTTTATTTTATTAACCAATGCACTTTAAAACACCCGAAATCAGTCTAAATCATAAAAAAATCACTTTAAAATTTTCTCTTAATTTTTTAATGTAAATTTTTTCAATCATCAAAAAATCCTCTTTGAAGCACTCTTTTTAATAATTTTGCCACTGAATACTTTATTCTTATCATAAGGAAGCTATGCACAAAATGATTTGGCTTACTTCATAGCCAAATTAATTTAAATAATTAAACTACATTTTTAATCCGAAACGCTAAAATATTTGCAAAAAACTAGCGTTACACATATGTAACGGGCAATTTATATCGTATTTTCCTAGCGTTACATATATGTTACATTTATTATCGTCACATAGTTAATGTATTTAACTATGCTTTACCTTTATTGAAGAGTTTTTAACTATAATTATAAATGATTTGCTTTATAAATCTATCCAGTTCTGATCAAAAATGAGTCAGAAAATGTGAAAATTTTGAGTTTCAAAACGACTAAATTTTCCATGTAAAAGAAAAGTTTAATTAACTTCTCCAATTTACATAATTAAGCAACATTAAATGTTAAGGGAGGTCCTTGATCTAGCCATAAATGAAAATCATTAGTCAGATTCAATGTAAGATCAATTATAGCAGAGAATTTTACGAAAAAGTTGGCGTAACATATATGTTACGCTAGTAAAGAACGGGTTAAATCTAAAGCTCGACCAATTTGTTCACTAATGTCTTTTAACCGCCAAAGAAAACGCCAACTTTTATCTGAATTTTTAATTTATCGTTCTCAACACTTATTCTTGCATTTTCCTACATCATTTAATTTAAAGCGTTTATATTATAGCACCATAAACAAAATTCCATTTCGCAGATGTCTCAACGTCATAAAAGTGAATGTTATTGGACAAAAGAAAACCAAATTGATTGAAATTCAAGTCAAAATAAAAGTTTGCTACTTCATTGAACTTTTAAAGTCTTTCCTTGACAGTCAAATGCATTTTTTGTTATTCAAACTCATTAGGGGTCGTTCACTTATTACGATATCGGACGTCACTTAACGGTCATTTTTCAAAAAAATAATAATTGATTTCCAGAAATTTCTATTGTTTTTTTTGCTGACCCCCTCCCCCCCCCCCCCCCTAAACGTCATAAGTGAACGACCCCTTGGGTGAAATTTTTAACTGACAAAAAATAACATATTGTGTATAAATCGCAAAGAAAATTGGTAAAATAAATGTCTAAAAAGTATAGAAAAATTTCAAATGTATGCATCGATTCATCTACACATCATTTCATATATGAAAATGCTTAAAGAAAGGGTGAAAATTTTTATATAGTGTGGCACAGTCTTCCGCTTTGAAATGAATAAAATATTACAATTTCTATTTTAAAAAATGCACTTTTATTCTTCGTTTTAGGCACAGCTAGTTTTATAATAAATACTTTTTAAATGCTGAAAAATAAATAAAATGTAATTGAAGAGAAATTGAAAAAATATTGATAAAACTTTTAAAATTATTATCTACCCAAAAACTAGTCATGATTTTATGATTGACATATTTTCTAATTAAAAAATCCTATTTAATAGTAGCCAAAAATTAATTATTAATTTAATAAAATATTTAAAAAACAAATTAAAATTGCAAAACTTGTTGATTTTATTCTTTCGTGCTGTCAATTTTAATTCAATTTTATTATCGCTTAAAATGATTATTTTTGTCACAAAAATCAAAAATTCTAATAAATTTAAACAAAAAAAAATGTTGTGGTTTCCAAATTTTATTTTCCGCGTATTTATTTGATTCTCATGAAAAAATAACAAAAAAAAACTGAATCTCAATTGAATAAAATTGCAAACAGCTATAAAAATTGAGTAAGTGATAAACTCGTCAACAAAAATTCACTCAACAATTATTTTTTGTCAAAAAAAAAAGTTGTTATTTGCAAAATAATTCAATGTTGATGTCCTCACAAAAATTATTTTCATTCAATTTCCCCTTATCTGAGCGAACGAGGAAATAAAAAATTCAATTAAGTTGAGCTAGAAAGCGTCGGAAAATAAAATTTATTCGGATGAGAAAATGTGTTGATAAAAAAATGTAGTTTAAGGCATAAAATGTCCCTTTCATATGGTAATTTTATACTAAATAACACGTCGAAAAGGATGGACATGATAAGTTTTGGAAATCACATTTTAAGAATATATTAATTTAATCTCATTTTAGTTTGCAAATTACCAAGCATCATTAATTGGATGTAGTAAATTTAAAAGTAATATTAAATGAGATTTTTAATTGAGAATTAAAAGCTATTAATTCTAAAAGTTTGAGATATTTTCTTTAGCTTGATTATGTTATTATTATTTATTTGTCGACGTTACCGTCCGGA